TTTGCTGAAAATTCAGGTTTGTAAAATCCTCAGTATAGCATTCTTCTTCTTCAAAGAACCTGGGAGTCGCATGTTCGCTTGTACTAGCAATTTATTTGGGCGCGATGCGCTTTGATCGACCCGACGATGGGAAATGTTTACCTTCGTGAGACCTTAACCTATTCGCAGATCCGGTTTCTGCACAGGTGTCACGACAATAGCGTGTTGCCGAAGAGTGTGAGATACAAATTCCCGCTGAACATGGAGGCGGCGAGACTCGTTATGTTTAGACACGGCAAGAGAATTATCCATTTGTAAATTCAGAATTGCCTCTCGAGGCTACGAAAAATCCATCAGATAATTGACCAAGAAAAAAACAAATGCTGAGTTTATTGGCGAAGCAAAGCACAAAACTGCTTCAGCAGAGAGTGCTTGAACGAGCCCGTGACAAACAAGTAATCCATGACGCGACACTGGAGAGGACATTCTGCAGACTGCAGAATCCAACGTCATCTAGAAACGACATACTGGCACACAACCTTTCGTCGAACGAACTGAGCAAATACAGGTTCAACAGAACGAAGCCTCATCCAACACGGCTGATGCTAAACCTGCCAACATTATTGCAGCTGTCGAATCGATCATCGACCAGACAGAAGCAACGGAGGAGACGAAGAACCTTATCCGACACCAGGTATCGTCCCTCCTGATGGCTTCTCAACCGCGGAAAGTGCTCCCAAGGTCAAACGCATTGCATTAAGAGCACTCAAGGCCGACCAGGACATCGTCATTGCGCCAGCCGACAAGGGACTTTCTACGGTCATACTGGACAGGACCGATTACCTTCAGAAGGCGATAAACTAACTGAAAGATTGACAGTTTTATGCTCCTTGTGAAAACAATCCCTTCAAAAGACTAACAAGCGAAATCAATTCGAACCTACTGGCACTAGAGAACTCGGGTGCAATAACGTCGTCTGACTGACGCATAGCGAGGGCACAAGAAACGGCCTTGACCCGCTTTTATGGCTTACCCAAAGTGCACAAGGAGGGCGCTAATTTCCGGCCCATAGTATCACTAAAAAGCACTCAAACGTACGGACTGGCAAAGTGGCTCTTTCGGCGTCTCAAATTTATGACTACTGATGCAGACACCACGGTCAGTTCATCTACACAATTTTTGGATGTCACCTCGCTTCTAACTTCTACCCTCAGGATCTGGCAGTCGAGACCGTCGATCTACTCCTGCGAAGCAAATACGACGAGACGGAGAATCGCCTTGGACATGCCCAAATCTTGTAGGTCCTGAAGTTCTGTCTCAGGACATACTTTACA